ACTCTCTCTCTCACACACACACACACACGCACACAATCGTAGGGTCCCATTTAAGACCACTTTCTGTTTTTCAAAAACAACTAATATGACAGCAAAATCTGTTTTTAAACTCATTTTTATTTTTTGAATTTTAAAACAACTTATTTGTTTAAGAAATTACTAAAACAGAAAATATTTTAAATAATTTTAAAAAATTATTCCCCATCCGGAAATCCCTAGACCGCTTTATCAGTCCTATTTTCTGCATTGCCTCTAAAATATTCTCGATTATATAAAAAAAATATACTTTCTCCTCTTAAATAAGTAAGTGATTTCTATTGATGTCAACTTTCAAGAACAAATCCCATTTTTTTTAACTCATCGGTGTCCAAATCCTCACAAAATTCTGATGAGTTGTTAATGTATCATAAGTTTAGATCCTACTTTAGCTCAGGCTACAGTGCCTCTGCCTAGAACACCTATCACTAACGTTTAATCTAGAAGATCACATTCACCTGATCTTAATCCGACACCAATATCTTCCTAAGTGGATCCTCCCCCCAATGACCTTGATTTACCTTACCTATTGATCTTCGAAGTGGTAAATGTCAATGCATTTATTCTACTTCCTCATGTTAATTTTAATTAATTGTTCTAATTCCTGCTTGTTTGTTGCTGCTCTTGACTCCGTCAAGGTTCCAAGATCTATTCAGCAAGCCCCGTCATATTTTGGGAGTCGAGCAGCGATGTTTGATGAGATGAATGTCTTAATTGAAAATGAAACTTGGGAATTAGTTTAGCTACTTTTTGGCAAGAAGGTTGTTGGATGTAAGTAGGCTTGCAGTAAAGTTTCATTCAAATGGATTTATAGTTCGTCTCAAAACTCGACTGGTTGCTGAGGGTTAAGCCCAAACTTATAGGATCGACAACTACGGTGCATTTTCTCCGGTAGCTAAGTTGACGTCAGTTGTCTACTCCTGGCCTAAGCTGTAATGAACGAACTAAGCACATTGAGATATATTTTCATTTTGTTCGTGAAATGATTCAATAAAATTTGATTTCTACAGCTCATATAAAAAATGGGGAACAACAAGGAGATATCTTTACAAAGGCTCTTAATGGAGCTAGGGTCACTTATGTTTGTAACAAGCTGGTTATGAAAGATATCTATGCTCCAGCTTCAGAGAGAGAGTTATGGAAAGTAATATATTAAGAAGCTTGTATATTATGAAGTTTGATTATATGAAACCCAATTAAAAAAGATCTAATTACAGAATCTTTCCTCGATTAGAAATATTCTTAAGCTATAGTTTGGGTGTGCGTGTGTGTGTGTCTGTGTGTAACATATGTTTTTAATGGTAATAAGAAAGAAGAAAGTCTTTTCTATTATAAACATAAAAAATTAAACTTAGGTGTTAGACATGTGAATACATAGGAATTAGTTGGTAAGTAAATGCCCCATAAAGAAAATTAAACATTATATGTCTGATACAAATCTGGGCTTGCTTCAAACTGGAATGAGAAAAATAAAAGTTGATGGGTAAAAATATGCAGTAAATTAAACATTCCATATGTCAAAAGGCTAGGCTATCAATTTTTTTGGTTATACCACATCACATAGTCATCCAACTCATTAAACTTCCACTAACAAAATCAACATTAAAAGGATCCTGGTTCCAAGTCCCAAACCCATAGTAGTTCATTGGCTGAACTACATGCGACATGGCTGCACGCACGCCAAAGTTCTATAAGATATTAACGATTATTTAGCATTCAACTTCTCATAACATTACAGCTTCATACTATAAATAGCACAAAATATTATGATAAAGATCTGTGAAGAGTTATACTATAAAATAATTTATTCATGTGAGAAATTATAAGCAATGAATTATTTCTTTGGATTAAGAAATTAATTCCTATTCATGTGAGAAATTATAAGCAATGAATTATTTCCTTGGATTAAGAAATTAAGGATTAAGAAATTAATTCCTTTCCTATTTTATATTTATTTCCTTGGATTCAGATTTATTTCCTTTCCTATTTTAGACCTTTTTATTTTATGTTATTTCTCTTATCTTCAAATAATTAATATAATTTGATTATGGGAGATATTAGGTGATATAACTTTCATTTTCATGTTATTTCTTTTAATTATCTTTTTCTACTCTAGGATTTATATAAGGGTTATTTATGCACCTTTTATATCAATGAAATTATTCTGTATTCCACAATTTTATTCCTCATTATTTTGAATTTCAACATAGTATCAGAATATACTTCCCTACCCTAGCGGCCGGTCCTCCCTCTAGAGCCGCCAAAATCCCTTCCTGCCATTTTTCCTGTAAAGAGGGAAGGCACTTTCTCGCCCCCCATGTTCCAATTCTCCAAAATCAAAATATTTTGATTTGATTCTGCCACTGAAGCACAGCTAATTCTCTTATTTTCTCGTATTTCAATATGGATTCTTTCAAGAAGCTTTGAAGGCGAAGAGGAGCTGTGGAACGGCCTCAAAACACCGCCAATTTGATCGCTTCCGTTAGCCTTTGGATCTATTGTCGATGCTCCAATTTGTGAGGATTGCTTCTTAAAATTCACAGGAAGCGAGAGGGATCTGCTTCTTTGGGTTGTATTTGTTCTGTCTTTGGATTCCTCTTTCTAAGGGTTTGGGATGCTAAGAATCGGGATGCTAGAATGCAGTGTATGCCACTACAAGTTGGTTTCTCCAAGCACTAGGACTATTTCTAGGGCATACGATAAACATAGAAGCAGCGTGTCATCAAAAAAACGTGCCTTGAATGTTCTGGTTTTTGGTGATTGCATCTTGGTCGGTCTACTGCCCATTTTGGTCTATATGTCTATGGTGGATGGAAGATTTAAATTTAGTCCCATCTTTAAATTTAGTGTGAACTTCTTAGCAGAGGCTACAAAAATTCTCTGCCATCATTATGCTATTACTGCAGGCTAGGCAACAAAAAGTTGGAGAGAAACCTCTTCGTTCAGTTTCAACTTTTGTACAGGCAGCAATTTTGAACAGCAAGAGGTCATTATCTGGTTCATCCGTACATTCTATGCTATGCAATAAATACCTAATTTTCTGCACGTTTTTAACGCTGGAGGTGCAACTTTCCCTGGAGGTGCAGCTGTCCCGCCAGCTTCCCTGCAGGTCCTTCCTGCTGTTTTTGGCGACTGTTCTCTGCAGCAGTCCGGCTTCATGATTTGCAGCAGTCCGGCTTCCCTGATTTGCAGCAGGTCCTTACCGCTGGATATGCAACTTTCCCTGAACGTGCAGCTGTCCTGCCGTCTTCCCTACCGGTCATTCCTACTGTTTTTTTGGCACATTCTCCCAGCAGCAGTCCGACTTCCTAGTTTCCAGCAGCCCGGCTTCCCTGATTTCCTGAAGTAGTCCGACTTCCCTGATTTCCTGTAGCAGTTCGGCTTCCCTGATTTTATGCAGCCTTACAGCATCAATCCTCTTGTAACTATGAATCCTGGCAATGAGTTATTCTCTGGTTCTACCTGCAAACAGGGGGAGCTAGAGGGAACTGTCATTTCCATACATTCTTTGGCAAATCTGCCCACATTGTTGACAGCACCAAACAAGCTGGCCACTTCCAGCAAGTTCTCACCACATTGGGAATTTCTGCCACATACCCTCCTTCAGAGCTTTCCCTATAGCAAGTCCTCCTCCGGAGTTTTTTTTATGTATCCGGCTCTCCTTGGGAGCTATCACTGCAGCATGCCATCCTCCTAAATTCTTCCTCAAGCACGTCCTCCTCTGGAGTCTTTTCCTGCAACAAGACCTACCTCTTGAGGTATTTTTCTGCGGGTCATAACTTACAGCATTTCCTGTTGGTTGTCTACTTCCCTGCAAACTTCCTTGCAACATTACTCGTAGAAGCATTATGTCTACCTACAGACACTGCAAGAACTGCAGTCAAAAGACAATCATAGTTGTTTGCTTCCTTGCAAACTCCCCTACATCATTACCTATAAGAGCTTTCCGTATACCTCCAAATACTGCAAGAACTGCAACCGCTGTTTTCTACTTCCCTACAAACTCCCCTACAGCATTATCTACAGGAGCATTCCGTCTATCTACAGACACAGCAGGAGCTGCAGCCAAAGACAATCACAGTTGTTTGGTTCCTTGCAAACTCCCCTACCTCATTACCTATAAGAGCTTTCCATCTACCTACAGATACTGCAGGAACTGCAACCGCTATTTTCTACTTCCCTACAAACTCCCCTGCAGCATTGTCTACAGGAGCATTCTGTCTACCTACAGACACAACAGGAGTTGCTTGTCACAGTCCCAAAAGAGCCTTTGTGGGTGGTGGGCAGCGCAGGACTTCAATACTGCTTTTCGGCCCTACACCTAACTGATGTGGGACTATTTGTCCACCCGATCCCGTGACGCCCTCGTCACGGATCGGCTCCACCGAGGGTCCCACTGGACCATGGAGAGTCCACACACCTGGCAGGCAGTAATCTGCTCTAATACAACTCGGCACCTCCCAAAAGAGACTTTATGGGTGGGGGGCCTCCCCCAGGACTTAAATATTGTTTTTCGGTCCTACACCTAGCTGATGTGGGACTATTTGTCTGTGACATACAGCCAAAGACAACCGTAGTATGAGATAAAAACTTAAAGATTTAACTCTCAGGATCTTCCTCGCCTATTGTTTGGAGTTTTCAAATCCAAGTTGACTATGGTTTTCAACCATGTTTCAACTTGAGATGGAATGTCAGGAGTTATACTAAGACATAATTTATTCATGTGAGAAATTATGAGGAATAAATTATTTCCTTGGATTAAGGAGTTATTTCTTTCCTATTTTATATTTATTTCCTTCAATTAGGAGTTATTTCCTTTCCAACTTTAGGTTTTCCTATTCTATGAGGAGTTATTTCCTTTCCAACTTTAGGTTTTCCTATTTTATGATATTGCTTTTATCTCCAAATAATTAATATGATTTGATTATGGGAGATATTAGGTTATATATATTTTCTTTTCAAGTTATTTCTTTTATCTTTCCTATTCTAAGATTTATGCAAGGATTATTTATACTCCTTCATATCAACAAAGTTATTATGTATTCCACTGTTGTATTCCTCGTTATTCTAAATTTCAACATGATCATTTACCTAATTAATGAAAAAAACAAAAATTTACAAAAATAACAGACCTGTTCTCCATACTTTTCACCGAACATTGCAATTGCACCAACTCTTTTGGCCTCTGACAATGGCATGACCATAGTTTGAAGATTAGTAGCATCTCCAATCCACTTGTTTATCAAGTTTTCGATTTCCAGAACTTCGTGCTCTAAGAGTGGCCGATAGAAGTTGAAATCAAAGCGAAGACGATCAAAAGCCACCAATGACCCAGCTTGTGAAGTCTCTGAACCAATGACTTTTTTAAGAGCTGATTGTAGCAGATGTGTGGCGGTATGGTGCACCTGAATTTGTATAGCTTTGACATAAGAAAACTAGCAAACATTGTGGTAAAGAAAAAATAGTAATAAAAGATAAAATTGGAATAAAGTGTGTAAACTGTAAGGAAGAAGGTGAGACTAGAGAAATGCTTTAAGTAAGAGGAATCAGGAATACAGTGGTATAGAGAAGTATGCCTACTGTTACATATGTATTGTGATGATAATTTGAGCTCATATAGAGCTTTACAAGGTTATAATAGTAACAGTGTATAATAGATCTAAGGGTGCGTAATGCACATGTTTGTTTTAAATCCAACGGTTTGTGGGAAAGTTGTTATAAGTTTGTTTGGGGGCCATCTGCTGTTGTTGGATAGTTGTTATGTTGTTGCTGGTTCTTCCACGCCTGAATTTTACATCCAATGGTGAGTAATGCACGTTATCATTTAAAATTCATGAATAAGCTGGATTTAAGCTTAATTTAAAGATTATGAATAAGATCAATTAATGCTTAATTTAAAACCTGTGAATAACTCAATCAAAACTCAATTTAAAACTAATTTGTACTAAATTAAATTAGAATAAATTTTTTAATTCATAGTACATAAAATAAGATAAAAGCATGTTTATTCAATTTTTCATTTATTTTGCGCATTTATATGCTTATTTTATTTACTCATTTAGTAGCTGATTCATTTAAAAGTTTGTTTATTTTTAGAAGTTCAACAGTAACTCATTTATAAGCAAGATAAAGCTCATTTGATTAGAAAACAAGTAGCACAATCACACTACTCATTAGTTTGTTCAATAAAACTCATTTAGTTAGATAATAAATAACACTATGGCACTAATTTTAATTTGCTCGATAAAAATAAATAGAATTTAAGAAACATAAACCGAACTCAAACAATCAAAATGATATATGAATTGAGCTTTTACATAAACACAAAAGTTTGATTTGAGCTTGCAATCGAAAAAGCTCAAGCTTGAAAACAACCCCAATAGCTCGACTTAAGCTTAGCTCGAGCTTGAATTTTAGAAGCAAGCTCAAGCTTGAACACATCCCTGCTCGACTCAGCTCGATTCTTTTACAGCCCTAGTTCAAGTTGTGGAGGCAGCATAGCTGGATGATGTTCGTGGTGGTTGAGGCCAAAGTATGATGCTTAGCTTCCATTGAGGACCTAGCTACTGTTGGTTGTCTCTTCGATGATCAGGAGATGAGTGTTTGGCTGAGAAAGGGACAGAATCCTGATTATGGATGCAGAACATCAAGGAGAAAATCATTATGGCCCCACTACTGCCCATGATGGCATCACCCCAAAATCAAAATCAAAGGCTATGAGAGATTCATCCAGCATTAAAATTGAAGAAGTCCAAATTAAGACATATTTGTGGTTGTATGCTTGATTAAAATTTCAAATATTAATTTAGAATTTTAAATATTTGAATTTAATTTTTAAATCTATCTACCATATGGGAGGCTTTTATTAATTACTTTTCTCATACTTTGTTTTCAACATCTTTGTTTGGAAGATATAAGGCCGCCGCTGCTTAATTGGAGTTGAGATTGGATTGGGCTCTCATTTCTTCTTCAGCATTACAATTTCTCACATTTTTTTATTTTTTTTTTCTTAGAACCTCAAAAAACATTTCCTCAATGAATGAAAATCAATTTTTAATGTTCGAAAGAAGATTTTGAAATTGGAATATGTAGGATTTTGTGCTTGGTGGTCAAATTCCCCTTTAGTAGTGTACTTACTGGCTTACCATTTTGGATTCTCCTTGGTGGAAGGCCAAAGTATACCAATTATCTCTAACTGATATCTCTCCCAAACCTCACTACTTCCACAACATCGCTAGTCTCTTTCTATAGGTTTTCCCATATCCTACAAAAAGAAAAAAATTCCCTAAGCCTCTTGCAAGTGATTGGCCAAAACTAGGGCATCCTTAAACTAGTTTATTTCTCCTCCTTCCACCACCTTATAAACTCCTTGGATCCTTAACAAAAACTCCGGATCAAAGTTAGATATATTCCTCTAACCCTTCCATGCCTTTTTTAACCCCCAAAGATACTAGATTCATCCACCAATCAAATATTTCAAGACTAGCCAAAAACAACCCAACCTAAGAATCTTGACCAAGTATTGTTGTAATCTGCATTAAGCACTTTTAAATCAATTGAATCTCCCTAAAAACTATAGATCACATATCCTGATATTCTCCTATAACTTCTACGAGGAATCATTCCTTAAATTTCCATCCATGCCATAGCCTTAAAGGTAAAATCCTGTAAGGCAGTCATAGGGCCGTTTTGGAAAAAAGCTCTTGGCCAACCCTCTTCCCATGACCCACACCTCAAATAAAAATCCTCTAACCATCTAGGGGTGTATCTCACACTCTTCATCACCCACCACAGAAATTGGAAGCCTTGGATCCGCACGTCCAGACCTCGTTCACTAAGACCTAAAAAAACACCAGCAATTGGTTTTATTCACGATCAGGTTAGGGCATGAAAGTTCAAATGAGTATCTCAAAGTCATTAGTCACATGCCAGGGAAAATTGTATGCTCCAGTGCATAGGGAGATTATGTTGTGTAAGTTGGATGGTTTGGATATTCATACTAAGCTATATGAGAGGTAAGTCAGAGAATGGCAGGATAAGAAAAAAAGGACAAATCTTCTTGCATTTCACAAGCTACAAATAAACACAAATATAAAAGCAAAAATTAGCACTTGCATATGATCCATTTTAAACAGCAGTGAACAAAACACAAAAACAAAAGAAAATGTAAAAGCCAAAAGTTAGGAATGATGAATATAAATGTATTTTTTAATTAGAACTCATACTCTAGCCTTTTGCCTCAAGTTTGCATCAACTACAGCATCCACTTCAGAGCCAATCTCCACTGTACCTTCTTCTATGGTTCCTTTATGAACAAAAATGCCCCCAAGGGACTTCTTGACATCCTTGATTTCTACAACTGTTTTCTTTCTGCCAACTTCATCACTTGAGCAATACAAGAACCCATTGTCCCCAATCTGACCGCCAGATTCGGCATAAAAAGGTGTCCTATTCAACACAATTTCTACCTCACAACCTTCAGAAACTTGTGCTACTGGGTTTCCATTCACTAAAATACCTTTGACAACAGCACTTGCAAAAAGAGTGCTGTATCCTAAAAATTCAGTGTCGGGAATACTTTCAGAAAATTCTGTTTCAGTTCCAACAGTGAGCTTAACCACATTATGAGCAGCCTGAGACTGACGCCTTTGGTTTTCCCTTTCAACTTCAAACCCCTCCAAATCTAAATTAACACCATGCTCTCCAGCAACTTCAGCTGTTATCTCTACCGGAAAACCATATGTATCATACAAAAGAAATACATCTTTTCCAGATAAAGAAGGTTTATCTCCATTAGCACCACTACTTAATAAAGCATTCTCCAGAAATTGTTCCAATAACTTTTCTCCTCTCTCCAGAGTCTGCAGAAATCTTATCTCTTCCCGTTTGAGCTCCTCAAGAATTCGTGGCATTCTTACCTTCACATCCGGGTCGATATTTGCGCTAAGTTCAATCACTTTCATAGCTAGTAGTGGCAAAAATGCTCCTTCAATGTTCCCCTCGACATCACCTTTTATACCAAGCAACTTGCCAATTCGAACAACCCTTCTTATCAGTCTTCTAACAACATAGCCTCTTCCAACGTTTGATGGCACAACCCCATCTGATATGAGATAAACAACAGCACGCATATGATCTCCAATAATCTGAAGAAAAATAAGATAGCTAAACAGCAGGGCTAAAAGTATCACCAGTAACTAAATGTAGGGTAAACCAACTCAAGACTATGTTATGTTACAGAGACACGGTTACAGAGATTCAGTGCTCCTCAATGCATACTTTGAGATTAGCCTTCGTAACATCATCTGCAGTGGAATAGGAAATCATGGCCAAGTTTGATGCTTTCTCTATAATTGGGAAAATCAGATCAGTCTCATAGTTGTTTGGGACCTACAATATGACACCAAATACAAGATTAATGACCAAAATGTAGAATAATATGCAGAAAAGGAAGATTAAGTGAGTGTGACCACTCTGGTGAAGGTACATGATAGATATATGAAAGCATCTCCTACTATACTAGCAAGTAAGAAAAGGTAAATAAGCACATTCCTGCAAATAGTTATCTACAACAATTTATAAATATAAGGACTCATAAGATATCATCTGGTATCTCACAGTCCGGATGAGACTCTTTACAAGCCCAACCATTAACAAGATGGTTTTATAACAGTTTAGCACGCATACAAGTTGTTAAGGACAAGAAACATGGTATTACAATAACCATTTCTAAATTCCCTACTGCAGCATGAATTACTAAAATTATACACTCCAGTATAGCCTTCTCGTATTACAGTAATTCCACAGATTTCTACTCTTATTATGCCAAGTCATATGAACAAATGTTTATTCATGTGCCAGGAGATAAAATGGGGTGCAATATCACCTTTTGAAGAATTTGTGCCATACGCTCGAGTCCCATACCAGTATCTATATTCTTCTGTCTTAATGGTTCAAGTGATCGATCATCCTTCTTGTTATATTGCATAAAGACCAGATTGTATAACTCTATAAACCTGCTACCATCTCCTAAATCCTACAATGTAAAACACATTGAAATTAAATCAAACCATTTGTATAGAGGAATTCATTAAGTACGTTAAACATCTATAAATTCGGAAAAAAAAACATACAGCATCCACATATCCTTTATCAGGATGGAAATCATAATAAATTTCAGAGCATGGGCCACAAGGTCCAGTGACCCCGCTTGTCCAGAAGTTGTCATCTTCGCCCATCCTCTTGATGCGCTCTTTAGGAACACCAACCTGAAGAAGAAATCAAATCTAAAATCTACTTGCAGCTGTAATTACGAGAGAGAAGAAATCTCATCCAAAAATAAAAGAAGATTTCTGAAATTAATGAACAACATTCATATAACGAATGAAAAAAAAAAAGGAATCAAAATACAGTAACCAGTTCTCCAATACTATTATGGTTTATATTTTTTTTTAAGCAAAGAAACTGTATTGCAAATCAGTCAAAAAGCTGCATAAAGAAGCTGTTACAGCGAACAAAGAAATGCTTTAGAAAAAACAAAATACATTGGCAAAAGATGGCATGTACGATGAGAGGGTAATATATATATATATATATATTATTAGAAAAGCCCAAGAGCTGATTTTATTGAAATAGAAAAGATACATAAAGGTTGTATGAGGGCCCAATAGAGGCACCCTACCCATACAATACCAAATACAGTAATACCTCAATAAAAAGATACAGAAGACTCAAAATTAAAACATGCAGAAAACAAAAGCTAGGGACGAGCCAGTTTAGTCCTGCCTCTTCCTCTAGTTTTAGGAGCAGAGCCAGATAACAAACTTTGAAGTGTCGTGTCATTGTCAGGAGTAACAAATGTATCATCCATTAAATTTCCAAGTTGGAGTGTTCCTCCAGTCTTCTTCTTCCGCCGAGAAGTGTAAATCTGTCATTCTTCATCAGAAGACTGACTCGTGTGATCATCGGTCTGATTTAGAACCGTAGTAGAAGGAAAGACAGTCGTTGTCACAACGATAGGTTCCAGTGTATGTGAAGTGTGAATTGTCACCTCTGTATATATATATATATATAAAAACCCAAGGGCAATATAGTGTCTAGCAATAAATCCACAAGTCAGACTCATGCTAAATCTGAAAGGCCAAAGTCATCATGAGAATTGTAGTGTCTGTCATTGTCAGTAATAACCAATGTATCATCCAATATGTTCCCGAGCTGGAGTCGGCTTCCATTCTTTTTCTTCCTCCTGGAATAGACCTGTCATTCCTCTTCCGAAAATTGGCTCACCTGATCAGAATGGAGGCCAGCTCCAGCTCGGGAACATATTGGATGATACATTGATTGCTACTGGCAATGGCAATTATCTTACCAACTTATTAGCTTGCTCCTTTCCTAGAACCAGAGGCAGAGGCAAAGCCAAATTGGGTTGCTCCCTAGCCACTTGATACTATGTATTTCAGCATTTTTAGGTTTTTTCTTTATGTCTCTAATGTACTTTTCAGTATTTCCTAGTTTTGGAACCCCTTGTAGTTTTGGTGTGTGCAAGGTGCCATGTTTGGGCCCTCCAACACATTGTATCTGTATCTTTCTTTCTAGTTAATATATTAGCCTTTTGGGCTTTCTAAATATATATATTTATATATATTAATTTTTGCCTTATGGAGAGAGGATAAGCTTAAATATTTTCCCTGTTTAATCAGATAAACTTCTAATAGAATTTTGGGACTAAATGCACTTGAATTTTCAACGATGTCCACTTCAAAAGTATCATAACATTGGGGAACGCTATTGTAATGTCAAAAGAAAAAAATGAGATTAAAAGAAATCAAGTGACCCTCAATAGGCTGGCAAATAGCTTTCTCAGACAAAGTTCTTAAGGAATTAGTAGGCCCTGTATCCATGTTAATGATGGAATCTTGTGCTCCTGATGATGAAGTACCTCAAGGGAATATATTGCATGAAAGTTCAGCAGATTGAATTAGTATTTTTCCAATGCAGATATGACTGATTTCTACATGGGATTGTTGGAAGGAACCATTTTTTGAACTGTATACAAGAGTTGAGCTTTACTCGATTTAAGAAGCCTTGGTTCAGAGGGAATGTCCTTTGTCATTTAAATCTTTTGGAAACTCTACAGTTTTCTTCAGTCTGTCTATTATTAATAAGAATTGTTGCAAGCTTTCTCCATAGATGAGTATTTCTTTTCTGCTAATAGTTTTATGGTACTACATTTTTGGTTCAATGCTCGTGCTAAAGTACTTACTAGGAAAACAAATACAAGATTTTGGGAGTGCTCAACAATAACTCATTTTTGGAATCTTTATTTAACTGTAATTGCAGTCCAATGATTATAATTAGAAGATATCTAACTAGAAAGGTACGAAATTTGTAATCGACTAATAAAATAATTAAAATGGATGACTTACATCTCTACACCATATGTTGAAGGCATCGTCGTCATCTTCAAAAATACTAACCCACAATCTCTCCAAAGGTAAACCAAACCTATATTTGAAGACCCAAAATGGTACAAATAATGAATCAATATGAGTGAAAACTGAAATATTTTTTATTGAAACTTTTAAGAATCACCAATTTAGCATATATCGCAACCATACATGCAGAATAAACTGAATTTAAAATAGGGCAGTAAATAGATAAATGGTCCTCAACAAGACTGATAAAATTTTGGAAAATTAACTTAAAGCTTACATACTCTTTAGTAATAAGTTCCCATGCCCAAATAATTGCCTCTTTTTTGAAGTAACAGCCAAAACTAAAGTTACCGAGCATCTCAAAAAAGGTATGATGCCTAGCTGTCCGTCCAACATTTTCTATGTCATTCGTACGTATGCATCTTTGAGCAGTTGCAGCGCATGGTACTGGCCTAGGTTCCTATATATTAAATATGCACAGTGAGAAAACAATAATTATAAATCCTCATCCTGTGGTATAACTTTAACAACATAATTGTGTATGAAGCAATTCAAACTTTAAATGTTCAGGTTACAAGATTTCTGACTTATACCTTCGGAACAGCAACAAATATCGTCATGGTATATGTCAAAAAGTAATTGATGTACAGTAAAATGATGAAACTCAGTATTTAGCATGAAGTATCAAGAAAGTTTAAGGACAATATGTAAACTGGTCTCGATGAAAACTAAAGATATGGACAGGATAAAATTTTTATCAACTCCAAACTCCATATTGGAGCTGACAATTTCACTGTATGCATGAACTTAATTATCAAAGCCAGGTGTATATATGGCATAATCAATTAATTTAGAAAGTTTTCCAGCTTCAAGTGAAGAATTTACTTGAAAGTATTAACACTAGTAGAAATATACATTTTGAACCTCTTTTGTCATAATGTTGTATATGTATCAGCAGTTCCTAATTATTTTAACATTATGTGACCATTATGTTCTATGTCAAGGGACGGTTCATTCACATTGCAACGGACTACGAAGTTGAAATGTCAGAGCAATTCAAGCTGTTTTGATGTTTCTTTTAATGTATGTGATAAGGAACAAAGCACAAAAAACAAGAACTGTTAACGTTAGGAGTCTAGATCAAGAAGTTGCAACATCAATATGTGTTTAGAGAAAGGATAGATATGGGCAACCATCAAATCACTATACTACAGCAATGCCTTGTCGTGATAATGTTTTGTTCTAATCCATAATTAAATTTGTTTGTTTTAGATATTATTTACATTTTTTATTATGGCCAGATCCACATGTCCAAGTGGCCATTCAGAAAAGATAATTAAAAAGCATAAATTAAACATTTGTCCACAAGGCGCAAACCTTCATCACATTAGACCATTTTTTGTAATCCATCGTTCGGTCCCCAAGATATAGAAGGCTTCTATCAATAGAATCACTAAAAAAGAATAAAACACCCTATACGTTCATCAAATTGCTGAAAAAAGACAAAAAACTTTTTTTTTGCAGCCCAGGACTCCTTTTTACCCTTCCTTTTTGTAACAGCCAGAACTCTTGTTCATCGAGACAGTGTCTGTATAGGCTTAATGGCCTCATGATTTTGTACTCAGGATATACTTTCATAGGAGGTCACCCATCCAAGAGTGTTCCCATACTACCATGCTTAAATTTAGAATTTCTGATGAAATTCCAATTGTTACACCAAAAAAGACATCAATGTCTTTGAGTTTATCTCCATTCTATTTAAGGGGCTTTACAATCTCCCCGACATCCACAAAATAGAAGTGGCTTCTATGACGTAGCACTTTCTTCTAAATGTCACTTAGTTCACATCTGGTGTAATGCTCTGATATCATTTTCAAACTCTCTTTCTCATTGGAAGATTGTCTTCTTTAACCTAATAGCCTTACAGTTTGTTCCATTGGTGTAACTTTCCGGGTCACCCATTGCAAGAGTGCTCCCATACAAGCACACCTAATAATGGAGTTGCAAATGAAATTTCAACCATTACATTAAAAACTTTATCAATATTTAAGAGATCAACGTTATTATATTTAAGGTGTTTCGCACAGTTCTCTCTTATTGTTTGAAATTGAAATAGTGCCCAATACTAAGTAGAAGAAATAATAAGGCCAGCAAAGAAGAAACTTGATAAGCAAAAGCCCAAGACAAAGAGCGTCTCCTAACTATGAAGGGCATCACCAAAGACAACTATAAAGAAAAAAACTAAGATGGGGTGGAGTCCTACAATGTTTTATATTTGTTGCTTAAAAATAGTTATTGCTGAATACTGATCATGAATCCATAGAAATCCCAATACCCTTTCTCAAACCAAAGTCTGCCTTTTTTTCAGTCAGATGACTTTCATTAAAAAAAAAATGTTGAGAATTTGTAATTCTGTCATGAAAGTTACTAACATGATTGAACTATTGCAAAAGTTAATGTAAATAACAAAAAATAACCTCCATAAAGATAAATAAGTTAACTCTAGAACCAACTCTTCATTAAAAAGTAAGATGCCACGATGGAAGGTTTTTAAACCGGGACCTTTATATCCCAAGGACCTATGGTATTTACCGTTTAAGATTACTGTGTATTTATATTTTCCAAGGTTTCCGTAAGAATAACTAATGAGATTCCATGGGAGAAATGCTTGCAAAAACCATTATGTTAAAATATTTTGTTTTCAGAAAAAGGTTTATTTTCCAAGGAAAAAAACCAGTCCAAAAGTCAAATCAATCTTAAGCATGAATATGCAAACCAGGAAGTGTATTTTTAGAAAATATATCTTGCAAAAGAGTATAATTTCTTTTTTAAGTACTTAAATATCAAACTACACCACGGAATGAAGAATAGATCGACGATTAAGAAAAGAAAAAGGATATTCAGTCAAGTCAATAAACCTTCCCAAGGAATATAGGTTTAAACTGAAGCATTCCAGCTATGGTCAGCAATACTGAAGGATCATCAGGGACAAGTGAAGAACTAGGGATTATCTTATGGCCTCTTGAAGCATAAAATCTGAGGAAACGTTGACGTATTTCATCTCCACTAATGGCTTTATCTGAGGAACCAACTTGTACCAGATCTTCATTTGATGGCTCTGCCTTTACTACAAAAAATGTAAATTTTAGGATGCATTTGTGAGGAGAGATTCATGGAATCTGAAATAGATAAGAAACAGCTTAGTCTTTTAGAAATTTACAGAAACTGATGTGCTACTTGTTGCAACAGTAATCACATGGCGTTGCCTGTCTCTGTGAAAATAGTGTGAAGAAAGTAAAGGCTTTCCGGAAAAGCAAATGGACTCCATGCAGCTACCACCTACCAAAAGATATAAAATATCAAGCATAATTTATATAAAATTGACTATTTCAAAAATAAATAAAGGAAATAATATAAATATATAAAATAGCATAATTTATTATAATGTGGCCGCAAGAATTACTGCGAATGTTTATTAATATGAACAATATGATGTAATATGAAAATACGCTCGTTCACCTAAAGCGGAGAAAGAGGGAAAATGTAATGAGATGCCAAACCATAATGTGTAATCATCATTAAAAAATGTATCCTAAATAATAACAAAAAGGAAATAACACATTACTGTTGACCTCATTTTTAGTGAGATCTAGTCTTCCTCCTAGGGTTTAGGATCTAGCCTTAGGGACCTACTAGCTTAGACCCTTAGAAAGGGGCCCCGCCTTATTTTAGAAATTCGACCTACTTCTGTCCTTTTCTGGAGTTTCGCATGTGTGACCCTTCTGGAGTTTCGCATGTGTGATATCAACTTCTAGCACTTAAAAGGGTGAAACCAACATGAGGAAACTTAAAAGGGATCCCTATAGGACCTTCCTGAGCCTTAG